GGTCTAGCCTGGACCCAGAGGTGAAGTCTAGCCTGGACCCAGAGGTGCTGTCTAGCCTGGACCCAGAGGTGAGGTCTAGCCTGGGACCCAGAGGTGCTGTCTAGCCTGGGACCCAGAGGTGCGGTCTAGCCTGGACCCAGAGGTGAGGTCTAGCCTGGACCCAGAGGTGAAGTCTAGCCTGGACCCAGAGGTGAGGTCTAGCCTGGGAGCCTGTGTCCTCACCTCCACAGTGGGAGTGGGTTTGTGAGGAAGGAAGGAAGGACCTTTCTCTGACCAGGAGGGTCCTCATTAGTGGGCTGGGGAAGCAGCTTCAGCACTTGTGGGGAGGACGCGTTGGCAGTGACGTCCCATCATACAGACTAGAGACCATGGGGCTTCTCTGGTCAGACTCGTCAGCGTTTCCGCCCTGAGGGGCCTGGGTGCGAGGGTGCGAGGGTGGGAGGGTCGCGACTTTGCTGGGCGGATGCTGAATCTCCAGGCAGATCTGCTGGGACCGCCGGGCCCTGCTGCCGTGTCCCCGGGCAGTGGGAGGACGCAGATCTCTGCACCAAGGTCCAGGTGCTCTGGGTCTCCTCCCCCTGGGAGCAGGGCCACGTCACCCAGGGGCCACGTCCTGCGGGCTCCGCGGCTGTGACTCTGAGGTCCCCTCCTGGAGGGGACTTTGAGGCTTCGTCTGCAAGGCTGTGGGTGACTTCGTGAGGTCCTGACTCTCCTGCGGGATGACAGGGTCTGTGCTGGCTCAGCCCACTCTGCGCCTGGGGCTCAGGACCTGAGTGGCATGTCCTAAAGGAGGGACAGTGACCAGGGGCCAGACACAGGTGCTGAGACAGGGACAGCTTAGTCTCAGCTACTTCACATCAGGAGAGCCGAGTCACCATGCCAGCCTCAGGACGTCGGCACGAACCCAGGAATCCCCGGTGACACGGATCCCTGTGTCCTGGGCCTACTTCGCCGGGTCCCTGGGTCCCCATGTTCGTCCCGGCCCTAGGGCTGCCCCACCTCATCCTCCAGCGGCCAGTCCCCCTACAGCCCGTGTCCCCGACCCTGCAGGCTGGGGCTGCCGGGATCTCGTGTGCTACACTGACTACCTCGAGACGGTCACCTGCGTCCTGGAGACGTGGAGTCTCCACCCCGGCACGCTCACTCTCACCTGGTAAGTGGCCCTGGGGACGCTGCTCAGGGCTCCTGCAGGGTTCAGGGGTCTGGACCAAGGAGACCACAGACACGGCTCAGCAGGTAGGTCCGTGATGACCAGAGCAGCGGCCGCGTCCTGGGGGCCACTCAGCCATCTCACTCCAAGAAAGACCCCGCGAGCTGGGATTCCAGTGCCCACCTTGCAGATGGTCCTAGAGGACGGTCCTGTTCAGACACTGAGCACGTGGGTGGGGATGTAACTCTCTGGTGAACTCCTATGCATCCCTCAGAACCCATCGCTTCTGCCCAGTGGGAGTTAAAACACCAGATCCCTCCCAATCCCACCCGACCAGCTTCCCCAGAAGCCCACCCAGGACAGGGGATGAGGCTCAAAGATGCCCTTTGCCCTGGACACAGTCCTCCCTGGGTATTCGGTCCCCTCCCACGGGACTGCAACCCAGTGCTGGGACAGACAGGGACAGATTTAGATTGATCCAAATGAGAGTGGCCCAGATTTCTAAGATGGGCCCCGAATGGGGTGTGCGCTGCGGGTCCCCTGGGGGTGCCAAAGCCCAGCCTGGACACAGCCCCCCAGGGCTGCCGCAGGGGTGGGGAGCCTCCCCGGGAGCTCGGGGCACCTGGCCCTGAGCACTGGGCCCCAGGCTTCCAGCCATGACCGGCCTCTGTCTCCTCGAAGGCAAGACCAGTACGGAGAACTGGGGGACGAGGTCACCTCCTGCAGCCTCCACAGATCCGGCCACAATGCCACCCACGCGAAGTACACGTGCCACATGGACGTGTTCCACTTCATGCCCGATGACGTCTTCAGTGTCAACGTGACAGACCCGACCGGCAACTCCTCCCGGGAGTGCGGCAGCTTCATCCTGGCTGACAACAGTGAGTGCCCGGCCTGCTGGGGACCAGGTGACAGCAGTGAGCGCCCGGCCTGGTGGGGACCAGGGGAGCTGGGCCCATGCTCCCGCCTGGAGCCGCTGTCCGCTCCATTGGAAAGGGCCTGTCCTGGGTCCCCACCCAAGGGTCCTGCCCTGTCACTAGGGGCTGATGGGCTGTGCGAGGCTTGGGCCTCGGCTGACCCTATGAGGAGCCCTGGAGGTTTGGGAAGAGCTGGGCCAGGACCCGGGACACCCGGGCTTTGGTCCTGGCTGGGCCCTGCCCGTCGGTGTGACTCTGGACAAGGTGTGCGTCACCTGGGGCTGCTTCCCCCTGAGCAGAGAGAAGGCCCTTCCACCACCAGCCTGCGGGATGCTGTCCGCACAGAGCACAGAGGCCGGCAGAGGTCACAGTCCCACCTGGTTCCTCCCCTTCCTGGGGCTGGAGCAGGAGGGCTGTTGTGTCCTGTGTCCCCAAGCCCAGGGCCGGGCGGGGCCAGAGAAGGGTCTGGAAGGCAACCTTGGCTTGTGTGTGTGACCATGTCTGGGGTTCACGCTCCGGGTCAGGTTGCCCTGCGGGCGGGAGCCAGGCTTTGCACACCCAGACACACCCACCACGTCTCCCCAAGCCCCGGCCTAGGAGGCAGGGACACAGAGGCCTGAGCTGTCACACACCCACACGCACACGATCTCACACACTCACACACCCACTTACACACCCGCACCAGCACACACATGCACACTCACAGTGAGAGGTGAGGTCCCGGCACACGCCTGGCTGGCCCATCCCCCGCAGCCCCAGGAGCAGAGGGGAGGTCAGGGGGCCGGGTGGCCGGGAGGTGGCCACTGCCCGTTGCTGGGTGGCTCCAGGTTTGCAGTTCTCTCAGGGTCTGAGGCCAGCGGGGCCCAGGGCAGGAGGTGACTTCCTGCCTCCCCCTCCTGGCCTCCTCCCTCCTCCTGGGGCCCGGGCCCCCTGCGCTGAGCCCCCTGAGGACCCCAGACCCACCAGCATCCTGGGCACGCGCCGGGCAGTTCCAGTCACCTGCTGTCACCCTGGACTGAACCTCGGCATTCAGCGCAGGTCACTCGCCCAGGACCGGTCCCCAGCCACCCTGGGGAGGGGAAGAGTATGAGGACCTCTCTGTGCCCAACAAGGAAGCGCCTGGGGGGGGTAAAGCCTGCTCTTCTCCCCCCCCAGGTTGGCGCCCCCAGGGTGCTTCAGACCTGAGCAGGCTGGAGTCCCCTTTTGGAAGCCCTCAAAGGGCCGTTTGTTAATGTGACACGTATTCATGGAGGGTAGCCGTGCCCCAGGCTCTGTCCTAGGAGCTGGGGGCTCAGAAGGGGCCAGGAGGACCAGTGGCCTTTGGAGGTGCAGAGCTGGGGCAGAGGAGGGCTGCGGCTTCAGAGGCCGACAGTTGGTCACCTGGTCCCCTGCAGTCACCACCTTCTGCTGTTCAGCATGGTCCCCAGGATGGAAACTGGTTCCCTTACACAGGGCAGTAAGGCCGGGTCCTGACCAAGTTCATCAGGCAAACTGGGATGGAGAAGAAGGGGAACAGCTCTGACCTTCACACGGGCGCAGAGGGCATTGAGCCAAGCTCACAGGGCCCCCGTGGGGTCAGTCTGCCCAGCACAGAGCAGCAGGGCAGCTCCAGGCTGAGGAGCCGTCATCATTGTCCTGTGGGCCGGGTGCACACCTGTGATCCCAGTGAGTCAGGAGGCTGAAGTAGGAGGATCGCAAATTGGAGGCTAGCCTCAGCCACTGAGTGAGCCCCTCAGCAATGTAGGGAGGCCCTGGCTCAAAATAAAACATGGAAAGGGCTGGGGACGTGGTTCAGGGGTTGAGCGCCCCAGGTTCAGTCCCCGGTACCACAAAGTACACAAAACCAAACAAACCTGGAGTGATTTCACAGGATCGTCTAGATTCCCAGGTTTTACGGCGTCTTGCTTTGGTTTTTTCCTGGAAATACTTAGACAGTCCTGGTGTGGGCTCCTCCACCTGGCCAGCCTGGGCCCGGGTCCTGGCTGTCCCTTTTAAGCCCAAGAACAGCCCTTTCTGTTCCATCACCTCACACCTGTGTCCCCAGTTCTGACTGACACCTGCCCGTGGCCGCCCAGGCTGTACCCCTCGCCTGGTCTGAGCAGCGGAGACCTAGAGGCGGGGAGGGCTGTGCCCAGAGTCACTGGGGTTGCTGACCCTGGCCTTGCGGGCGATGGCCAGGGGGAGGGCGGGGACTTCTGGAGGGCCCCAGATTTTTCCGGGCTGCAGCTAAGTCCCACCCTGCCTTATCTTTCTGGGTGTCTCCCCTCAGTCAAGCCGGCTCCTCCTTTCAACGTGACGGTCACCTTCTCGGGACACTACAACGTCTCCTGGTGCTCTGACTACGAAGAGCCTGACTTCTACGCGCTGAGGGGCAGGATGCAGTATGAGCTGCAGTACAGGAATCGCGGGGACCCCTGGGCTCGGGTGAGGACCCCGTGGGTGGCCTGGCTTGGGGAGGGGGCAGCCAGGTGTGAGACGGGGAGTGTGAGTGACAGGTGAGCTCTGCAGCCCCAGGCACCACTGAGTTCTCCTGGTGGGGGGAGACCCCTCCCCGTCTCCCTCCCTGACCCTGCTTCCTCCCCTCCTCCCCAGGTCCCACCCATGCAACCAGAACAGAGGAGGTTTCGGAAACTTCCTGAACCTTCTGGAACCTTCTGCAAGGTTCCCACTTTGCTGAGAAGAGCCATAGTTGGAGAGTCCCAGACATATCCGAGGGCAGGCCCAGGGTTAGAGAGCCAGCTGTTCCCAATGTGCAGGCTTCACAGGTGCCCTTTGCTCCGGAGAGTTCCGGGCAAGAGCAGAGTTAGGGAGTCCACCAGCCAAGGCCCAGGCCCTGCTGAGAGCGGCCAGCGTGGCCCGGAGCCTGACGCCTGTTGCAGGAGAGGAGACCCCAGCCCCCTCCACGGGGGGCTGCCGAAAGGCGGTTCTGCGAGGGGCAGGGGCTGGCCCCCGGGGAACCCTGACCGGAGCGTCCCTTCTGCCCCGCAGAGCCCGGTGACAAAGCTGGTCTCAGTGGACTCGAGGAGCGTCTCCCTCCTGCCCTTGGAGTTCCGCCAGGGCTCCAGCTACGAGCTGCAGGTGCGGGCGGGGCCCCAGCCGGGCTCCTCCTTCCGGGGGACCTGGAGTGAGTGGAGCGACCCCGTCATCTTTCAGACCCCGCCGGAGGGTAGGTGCGACCCCGGAGTGGACGACCCCCTCCTGGTACCAGCTCAGGGCCTCGCTCAGTTGCTGAGGCTGGCTTTGACCTTGCGATCCTCCTGTCTCAGCCTCCCGAGCCGCTGGGATGACAGGCGGAGATGAGGTCATTTGCCTTCCTTTGCAGAGTCCAGGGGAGGCTGGGGGCCCCCCCAGCTGCTGCTGCTGCTCCTGCTGGTCATCTTGGGCCCCGTCCTTGTCTTCCTGGGCCTGAAGGTCCACCTGCCTTGGAGGTGAGGCTGGGGTCCTCAGCAGGGAAGGGGGATGGGCCATGGCCCCTCTGAGCAAGACCCTCCCCGGGGCTGGGGGACGGGCCTGTCACCATGATGGAGATCCTAATGGCCAGCTCACATTCACCACGCACCGGACGCCGTGCAGAGCACCCACGCCACCCACGGCAGCCCACGAGCCAATACACCGCAGTTACCCCTGTTTTACAAACAGAGAGGCCAAGGCACAGAGCTGTCAAGGAACTTGCCCAAAGCCACACAGCTGGAGCAGGGGCAGGACGGACCCTGTGCTCTTCACAGCTGTGACCTTGTCTGCTGGGTTCCAAGCTCTGAAGCCTGAGCAGCACCCGGGGGCCGGCTGCCAGGTGGAGTGACATGAGCACCCTCCCCCACCCCCTCTGCTTAACCAGAGGTTTGCTCTGTGTTTTGGTACCTGGTATTGAACTGGGGGCGCTCCACCACTGAGCCCCGTCCTCAGCCCTTTTATATTTTATCTAGAGACAGGGTCTCACCGAGTGGCTCAGGGCCTCACTGAGGCTGGCTTTGAACTCGCGATCCTCCTGCCTCAGCCTCCCGAGCTGCTGGGATTACGGGCGGGGGACCAGCACCCAGCACCTAGGTGGTCCCGCCCTGGCCCTGTGGAGCGGCCCCTCCCGTCCTCCCTGGAAGCGGAGGCTCAGAAGGGAGAGCAGTGTTTGCACACGAAAACCTCTTCATTCAGGAACCTGCCAGAGGCCGGAGACCCCCTGCTCCCGCTTCACGGAGGCGGAATCAGAGGCTGGGGGGGGGCAGGACTGTCCTGGAGGGGCTGCGTCTCCTGCAGGACAAGTCGGGGCCACCCTCTGGCTGCGGTCACAGCCTCTGGTGGTCTCTGTCCCCTTAGGCTGTGTAAGAAGGTGTGGGCGCCCGTGCCCAGCCCGAAGCGGTTCTTCCAGCCCCTGTACGAGGGCCACGGTGGGGACTTCAAGGTGAGCGAGCCCCTCCCAGATCCCCACCTCCGTCTGGACCCTGGCCGCCCTGTGGGCCCGGAGTGTCGTGGCCCCGTGGGACCTGGAGCCCGGCCTGGGCGTCCCAGTTCCCAGGGCAACAGCGTGTGTTGTCACCAGACCCGGACGGGCCCCCAGGCCTCCCAGCTCAGAGACAGACCCACGGGCTCCCGACAGGCACTGGCCTGAGCCTCCCCTCCCCGCCCCGACCTGGGTGGGCAGCGAGGGGGTCCTGCTGTCACCCCTTCCTGCCCAGCACCCTCTGCCACCCTCCGCACCCCAGGAGGGGCCCAAAGACAGGATGTGGTGACGGGGGGAGGGGCCGCCTGCAGGCTCCAGCTGAGCCAGACAACCTAGAGCACTGATTGAGCTCCTGCTGTCTACCTGGTGCAGCGGTGGGGTCCCAGAGCAGGGAGGGAGGGACCTGGGACCTGCCTGCTTCTCCCCTGAGGCCCAACTGTCCCATTGATTCTGTGTCCCTGTCATCTGCACTTCAAGGGCTTTGTCATTGATTCACTCAACTCATTAGTTCATAAACACTTATTGTGCACCTGCTGTGTGCATGAACACAGAAGGTGAGGCTTCTGCAGGGGCTGAGTGTCCCCTCTAATGGGGACACATAAACAGGAGAACGTGGAGCTTGTGGATGGTCAAGGAGGAAGTAGAACAGGGGACGGAGGGGGGACAGAGAGGGGGGACAGAGAGGGGTCTGTCCAGGCCTCCGACCCCTGTCACGGGGACTTGGGAACTTTGTCCGTGCACCCAGCAGAGCCCAGGCCTCGGGGCCATCCGTGGCTGAGCAGGCTACTGAGGGCAGGAGCTGCCCACGATGGGTGGGGACACTGAGGCCCAGAGTGGGCAGGACAGAGGTGGGGACCTGATGGACGAGGGCCGTCGTGGTCCTGATCTGCTCTCTCCCCCCCTGCTGTCTTGTCCCTGCTGTCCTGTGTCCCCCCTGCTGTCCTGTGTCCCCCCTGCTGTCCTGTGTCCCCCCTGCTGTCCTGTGTCCCCCCTGCTGTCCTGTGTCCCCCCTGCTGTCCTGTGTCCCCCCTGCTGTCCTGTGCCCCTGTGTCCCCGCCTCACTCTGTGTCTCTCCCACAGAGATGGGTGGGCTCGCCCTTCTGTGCCCCCAGCCTGGACCCAGGGCCCTGGGGCACCGTGGTACTGTCCACCCTGGAGCTGCCCGCCTGCGTCCCCCCACGGAGTCCAGCCAAGGGACTGGAGTCCCCAGGGCTGGCGGGGCCCGCGGACCTGCTGGAGACCGACGGGGTGTCCGAGCCTCGCTCCTGGGGCCCGGCCTCCCCCAGAGCAGGTGGCTCCGGAGGCTCAGCCTTCGGGGAGGAGAGGGACCGTCCGTACGGCCTGGTGTCCATCGACACGGTGACCGTGGTGGACGCCGAGGGACCGTGCACCTGGCCTTGCAGCTGCGGGGACGATGGCTACCCCGCCCTGAGCCTGGACACCAGCCTGGAGCCGGGCCCCGGGGACCTGCTGCTGGGCCCGGCCACCACGGTCCTGTCCTGCGGCTGCGTCTCGTCGGGTGGCCCTGGGCTGGGGGGCCCCATGGGCAGCCTCCTGGACAGGCTGGAGCTGACCCTGGCCGACCAGGAGGGCTGGTCCCCAGGGGGTGCCCCAGACAGCGAGGCCGGGTCCCCAGCCGCCGGCCTGGACATGGACACCTTCGACAGCGGCTTCGCGGGCTCCGACTGCGGCAGCCCCGTCGAGTGTGACTTCGCTGGTCCCGGGGACGAGGGGCCGCCCCGGAGCTACCTCCGCCAATGGGTGGTCAGGAGCCCTCCGCCCGCTGGCCCCACGGCCCAAGCCAGCTAGCGAGGCGGTGACCCAGCTGCCCTGTCCCCAGCTGGCCACCACAGACGGCCACCCGGGCACTAGCAGAGACAGGCCCGCGGCCCTCGGTCCCCGGGGAAGGGGCCTCTGGGCCTGTGGCTCACGGTGTGCGTGGCTGGGTGTGCGGTGGCGTGTCCCCAGCTGCATGTGGCCCTGGCTGTGACAGAGCACCCGCAGGCACAGGCAAGGGCCGCCGGTCCACCAGCCTACTGGGCTCAGGCACTGCCTGTGACAGGTGCCAAGCCAGGCCCCAGGTCCCGGGAAGAGTCCAGCAGCCACACGTCCAGGCTGTCCCTGCAACCTCTCGGAAGGGCTGGGGAGGGGGTGAGCCCTCAGGGCGCAGGAAGATTCCGCCCAGGGGGCCGCGGCTGTGCTGCCCAGACAAGTCGCACTCCCTCTCTGGGCTGCTTCCTCACCTGTACAGGAGCCTGGCCAGCCCCGGGGTGGGGAGGCCCCGGTTCAGTCTGCAGCCTGAGCAGCCCCTCCGCCAGCTTCCTGCCCGTGCAGAGGTGGCTGGGGTGAGAAACCAGGTGACACTGACAGCCTGGGCCCAGGGCCCTCTGAAGCGGGTACTCGGGGTTTCCGGGCCTCGAACCGCTCAGCCGTGTCCCTTGGAAACAGTCCCTGCCACCAGGGTTCTTTTTTTGGCTTCTGCTGCCCATTAAAAAAATCCCCTTTTGTACCCTCAAAAATATTCATCAAGCACCAGGTACAGGCTGGGCACGGTGCCAGGCGCTGGGAGCCCAGAGTGGGCACGGTGCCCACGGGACCCGCCCTGTGCACTCACGGGCGTCGGGGACACACGGAGGAACCAGTGGCCGGAGGCCACGTCCTCTGGGCCCCTGCAGCGGCCCAGCGCCCCCAGCCCTGATGTCTTATGTGTTCAGCCCGGGGACTCGGGGACTCGGGGACAGTCGGTTTTCAGTGACTTCTCAGAGCCTGTTGAAAATGAATGAAGCCATGTCACCAGCCCCACTTCAGTCCCAGAGCCAGCTGTGGGTGACAGACGATTCATAAACGCCTCTATTTGTATTTTCAAGCAGTTAGGCAGCCTTCCCTCCAAGGGTGCCCACCTAGAGGTGGCGTCTCGGGGCCAACAGGGTCAAGGAGCCCCGGGGATCCCCCACCCGGCCTGGAAACCTCCCGTGGGAGCCGGGTCGGCTGGGCGAGGAGGCAGCGGGGGTTAGTTCTGCTGACAGTCTGCCCAGGACTTTCCTGTGAAGCAAGGCAGTTGGGAGAAGTTGCTGAGAGAGATACTGGAGGAGTCCTCAGTGAGCGCCTGGAAAGTTCTGGAATGCTGGGGACTGGGGACCTGGGACCAGGTCCTACTCGTGTGAGAGCCCCCCGCCCCGCCCCCTGGACACTTGGGCTGAGGTCGCTGTGGTTGTCACACCTCCCCCGAGCGGCAGTTGGAAGGTGCCACCTGCAGACACCACCTGAGTGGAGGCTCCCCGGGGAGGCTCAGTTCTCCAGGGGGCTGTGGCCTGGGGCGACGTCCCTCCCCGACTCCACCTTTGAAGGAGAGGCCGCACGTGGACAGGGCGGCAGAGGCTGGAGCCAAGAGAGGCCCCCACCAAGGATGGACAGGAAGTAGGTGGGTGGACGGCCAGGTGGACGGATGGAAGGACAAACAGAGGTGGAGAGACAGAGCCGGACGCAGAAGACAAAGCCCGAGACCTGCCTCCTTCACTGACCTCCCCCAGCCTGGTGCATAGTAGACACTCAATAAAGCCTGGTTTGTAGCTCTCTCCTTGCCTTGGTGTGACTGTCCCACCACGGCCGACCTCCAGCCGCAAACTGACCACTGGAAACAGACCCGGAGCGATCAGTGCGCACAGTGGGCCTCCTGGGGCAGGAACAGGTGGGGCATAGGGTTGATGGGCCCCGGGGCTGGGGGGGCTGGAGGAGGAGGTCCGGGGGTTGGGTCCGGGGGTTGGGCTGTGGAATGGCCTCAGGGCCGCCTGGTGCACCACCTGTACCCTCTCGTGGAGCCCTCCTGGCCGCCATGCCCACCCGCAGGCTCTGAGGGGGCAGGACAGCCACCTGCCCGAGGCGTGCACCAAACCCATCCTTAGACTTGGAAGCTGAACTTGAGGCTCTCGGTCCTCGTCCAGCCCTCGCTCAGCCAGCTCTGCTGCAGGGGACCCAGATAAAGAGGTCGAAGACTCTGCGCAAGCACCCATGGGCGCCAGTGCCTTTGCACCCGGTGGGTGTGGCTGATGCCAGCCCAGGGAGCACCTGTGTGACCTCAGCACAGCCACATCCTGCTGTCTGCTGGGATTGCTGAGCTGTGGGGAGAGCCCGGGCCTGGGAGCTGCTGGGGGAACCAGGGGCAAACAGCTTGCCTGAGACCAAGGTGACATGTAAGAAAGCAGGACCGAGATGTGGGAACTTATTCCTGGGACTATCTCTTGAGCACCTGGATCCAGCCATACCTGAAATCATATACCTCCCAGACTTTTGAGGTCCATGAGTATGGAAATCATTATGCTCTGCACCAATTATTTCCAGCTTTGGGCCTTGTGGGCACATGCCAGGATTGCACCTCCTGGACCTTTGTGGTCACAGGAGGCCACATGACTAGGGCTGGCTAATGAGCTTTGAGCAGAAGTGGCAAATCTCACTTCTGGATAGAGCATCTAACTATAGTCAAAATGCCCCCTAGAGTGCTTTTCCTCTGCGTCAGTGACCAGTGGTGACTAAGATGGTGACTCCTCCATCAGCCGGGGTCTTTGCCTGAAGAGGCGAGCAAGGACCAGTGTTCCCAGTGTACCTGTGCTGGATGTTTTCATGAGGCAGAAATCCATCCTTTGTTGTTTGAAGTGGCTAGAGCTGGGCTGTTTGTTACGCAGCACGCCCCAGCCTATCCTGACTGAGGCAACGAGCTGATATGTTCCCTTTTTGTGCTAACGCTGGTTTGTGGTGGGTTCCTATTGCTGGCAGCAGGAAGTGTCCTAGCATTATCTTCCTCCCTGCGAGGAGAACTCACTTTCCATCCAAGGAGGGACCATATTTAAAGGGACCCAAGAGGTGGGGGTTGTAGCTCAGTGGCTCCGTGGTAGCTCAGTGCCTGACTAGCATGTCTCAGGCCCTGGGGCTGACCTCAGCATAGTAGGGGGACAAAAAATCCAAAGGGACAGGGACCAGGCTCTGACAGTTGTCATAAGTGACCAGGGTAAGGGGCTTGCTGACCCCGAGCCTCAGTTTCCTCTTTTGTAACCCCGGGGGCAGGAATGAGCCTCTCAGTTTTCTTTGGGGACGCTCCCAGCCGCTCCCTGCTCCCTCCCCAGGAGCTGCCCCTACATCACCTGCTGGGACTCGCCCCACCATAGCAGTTTCTGCAAGGCCACAGCCGGGGACACGCCCGAGTGTCCTGGTCTTCTCCTGTGGAAAGAGACAGGGTTGAGTCAGGCCGGCCCTTCATTCCCCATCCCTGGGGCAACAGAGGCACAGGGGGAGATGTGACGCCCAGGGTCCCCTGGTTCCACTCTCGTGCTGTGTCCCTCTTGGCCTCTGGCTGGAGGGGAGCCTCTTCTAGCTCCAGGCTGTTGCGCCCCTGCTGGCTGCACCCACAATGCAGCGCAGAGGCCCAGGTGCCCCCACAGGAACAGGAGTCTCGTGGGGGGTGGGCATGGGCCTCCCTTCCTCAGCCTCCCTTCCTCAGCCTCCCTTCCACAGCCTCCCTTCCTCAGCCTCCCTTCCTCAGCCTCCCTTCCACAGCCTCCCTTCCTCAGCCTCCCTTCCACAGCCTCCCTTCCACAGCCTCCCTTCCTCAGCCTCCCTTCCACAGCCTCCCTTCCTCAGCCTCCCTTCCACAGCCTCTCTTCCACAGCCTCCCTTCCACAGCCTCCCTTCTACAGCCTCCCTTCCTCAGCCCAGACTTCTCCAGACAGTGAAGGAATAAGAAGCACAAACCACTGACCACAAGGACAACCAAGAGGCCACAGCAGCTGGAACCATCGCACCTTCCTGGGGGGTGGGAGGATGGGGTCTGGGTTGGCTCTGTGGGACCTGCCACGGCCCAGCTCCTGGTTCCGGCGGCCACACCCTGGCCTGGTCCTCGTCTCCCTGGCACATGCCACCGCCCCCTGCACCGCACGTCTTTTGCTGGCTCTGGCACGAGCTGCGGGCGCTGGGCCACGGCTGGGTCTGCGGGTGCCTGGCCCCGGGCCGTCCTCCAACGCCCAGCCAAGGCATCAGGCCACCCAGCGGCTCGGGGTCACTGCCAGCCCCAACCTCGGGGAGCTCTCTGGAGCTCCTCAGGCCTCAGTCTCCTCGTCCATGAAGTGGGCACAAGGGTTACCCCGACCTCTCAGGGTGCTAGAGAACAGTGCCTCGTGCCTTCCACGGGCTCAGGAAGTGCTGCTGTGGTCCTATTATCACTTCTATGGGCACGTCACCCCCACCAGGGCCGGTTCTCAAGGATCTCAGCCTTGAATGTGGAGGGACAAAGAGCGACAGGCCCCCAGACCATCAGGGAAAGAGCAGCCTGGGCCACTGCTGCCCCCTGCTGCCCGGCACTGGAACTGGCCGATGGCGGAGGAAGTGGCACCGGCTCTGTGCTGGCCAGGGGCAGGGGGTGCTCCGGAGCCTCTGCCGGGTGCTTGTACATGTAGGGGACCCGACTCGCAGTCGTCATGGAGACCTGAGGTGGGAGGTGCCGGCGGTGAGGGCGACGGTGAACTGCGAGCGCTGACTGCTGCCCTGTGGGTGGACGAACCTGCCTTGGGTCCGGGGGTGGGGAGCTCCCACTAAGCAGGTTGGTTGCATGCACGCATTTGAGCCCATGTGCGCGCACACACCCCACTCATATATGCACATCTGGAAAACCTCTGGCTGCAATGAGTCAAGGGCCCAGGGGAAGGATGGGTGGTCGGGAGGCTGGGCCACTCTGCGGTCTTGCAGCCCGTGTGGGTGCAGGCGTGCCAGGGAGTCAGTGGTGGGCAGCGCTGACGGCTGATGGCGAGCCTGGTGTGAAAGGGGCATCGTGGCTGTGTTTCCCGGGCAAACAGATGCAGGGGCCTGGGAGGGGCCTGGGCAGGAGCGCCCACCTGGGAGCTTCAGCCTGTCGGGCTTTGGGTTTGCACGGGAGCCACCCACATTTGTTTATGGCCACCTGTCCCAGCTGGAGACCTACGCTGGTTCACAGAACCTGACTGTCCCAGTAACTTAGGAAAAGGGCCAAGAAAGCAGGTGACCTCACAGAAGAGAGAGAGAGAGAGAGAGAGAGAGAGGATTTTTAATATTCATTTTTCAGTTTTCGGCCGACACAACATCTTTGTTTGTATGTGGTGC